TCTTGTTACACTTGTTAACAATTTAACCTGCACGGGCAGTCCTGAAGATGCAACTTCTTCTTGTACTTCTAGACTGTTGGTGTGCTATGCTGTCACTGGTTAATAATGTTTAGAATAATGAACTAGAAAAAGCAACACAGTGCATCGTTACATAAAACTAGCTATCTGATGACCTGATAAGGCTGAAACATGTTGTGAAAGTAACATTTATAAAAGAAAGTGGCAAGGTAGCACACAGTCTACAAGCATGACAAGAGGTTGCACCTTGAAGACTGCACCTGCCAATTAAAAGAATACACTGGCTTTTATGGACACCAAATTCTTACATCCACTGTATCAACAGTGAACTAATAGTGAATGACAAACTGTTATTAATAGGGTGATTTGGGAGATATGTGGAACATAGTAGTATGAGATAGGTTATGGCCACTATCTCAGTGTTCTTCTGGATGGAATGGGATATGTTACATAAGAATCCCAAGCATACTGACATATGATCAAGATATTTTAGCATATGTTCCTGCTTAGCCTCTTGGAGAAAATCATTTCCTTGTTATCTTCATCTCTCTTTCCTTTTCTTCCTTTCCTTCATTATTTCCATATATTTATATCCTTCCCTCCTTTCTCTTATATTTCTTTGTTATCCTCTTCATTTGTTCATCCTACCATCAATCCTCTCCTTGTCCTCTCTGTTTCTCCTTTATGTTAAGATACTGTACACACACGTATGTACATATTGTACACGAGCTTTTATAACTATGCTGCATACATAACTATATGTTACAAGTTATGATTGGGAGCCAGGATAGCTCAGTCACTATAGCATCTAGGCTACTGGCTAGATTATCAAAAAATCAAGGTTCGATCCCCAGCAGGGGCAAGAGATTGTTTTCTTCTCCATGACATCCAGACTGGTGCTGGGACCACCCAGCCTTACATGCAATGGGTACCTCAGGCTGTTTCCCCACAGGTAGAGTAACAGGGGTGAGAGACTCACTGCTCATCTCCACTCAGTTCCAAGAATAAGAATGGTGGAGCTATACTTCCACTCCCCAATATGTCTTCATAGCGTGACATGATGGTTGAAAGTCAGAATAGTGGAGCCAGGACCAGACATTCGTTGCTCAGCAATGGCCCAGTTTCCATTACAACATATAGCATGAGTGAACTGTTACCAGGTAACAAGTTGCTAGACATGCATTACCAGGGCAACAGATATGCAGACTACAACAGATGAACTGTTGTGTTTGCAGTCTGCATCAGGTCAAAAAAGAACGCATAATTCATTTGCAGTGAGTTGTTCTGGGTAGCAGAAGACTAGAGGCTAGAGACCAGTCTGATGACCAGATGAAATACAGTGAGAGATTCGTTATTTACAAGGAGTGCAATGTGTGTGGACTGTCATAATTAACTGTAATTATAATACAGGCACCCAATAAATCCAATCATCAAATCTAGCACCCAAAATAATTCATCACACTACCCCTTACATGTGACAATAGCATAGTATTTAATGAATTAAGCATAGGGACAACTTTACCTTTTACTTTATGCAATATACTGAATCACAACATTTTCCATGAGGTTTGCATCCTCTGTAAGTGCCAACATATGGGAAACTATCCTTTATGTACATGATCATTCGTCTGCATACAAAAATACTATACCTCAACGTACTGTTTTCCAGCAAAGTTTTCAGCATTTGCGTTTTCTTTCTAGCACTTCTGCCTTCCCTTTTACTTAGTTTATCTACAATAAACTGTGTGAATTAGAGAGCCCCTGGTACCCAGGCTCCAGGGACTATGTGGGCTTCAGAACTGGTAGGGGAACAGTGGTAAAGAATCAAAGGTACTGCCAGAGATTAAACCCTGGTCATCTAGCCCATAGTCAATCATTCTACTGTAAGATTTGAGGTTTTCATGGTGGTGACTATGAACAATGCTGTCTTCTCAGATGTGGCACTGTGTAGTTAGTGTGTTCACTGACGTTTCAGAGAAATATATTTCCTCCATCTTCAGGGTATAAGAAATCCACGAGCAAGGTGCAGCCACCTGCTCACACTGGTTCCTCACTTGCAGATTTTTTATACCCTGAAGATGGAGGCGATATGTTCCTCCAAAATGTCATTAACACAGTATGTATACAGCGCCACTTCCCAGAAGATGGCAATCTTCAATCATTTTACTGACTGAGCTATCACAGCTCACATTTATCACCAGAATATTCCTAAAATTGTTGATGCAAAACTGCATTTTCAACAGAAAAAAACAGACAACAATTAGGTAATTCATTAAAGTACAAAAATCTCAAAGACAGATATTCTCATGTAAAATGGTACTGACACATGAGCAAGTACTTGCATATACTGACAGTTCATTCCAGCAGCATCCCTTTTCTCATGATAATGTGCCAGATTTCATGAACCTGGTCCCAGTGAACATAGGTACTTGTAGGAATTGTGTTTCCTTAACCACACATCAATACTAATAGCTTGCATATGAACTTCACTTCCCCTTAGCCACACCCAATGCTACCTTCCTCTTTCTCCTCTCACCCCTTGCATTGCAAGGATAGCACTTTCTTTATTGCTTCCCTTCTTATTTAACAACTAGCTGTACCCGGCCACGCATTGCTGTGGCTCAGCCTAACGAAATATTTCAATTCAAACGCAGATCAATCGACACAGCTCAATCCCACCGCCAATTGCACTGAAAAATAAGGAAAACAGTTAAGAAAACGAAATGAAAAACAATGAAAAATAAACTATACTCATGAAATGTACGACGTATAACACGTTACAGTATATTAATATTGAGTACAATTAATATTTTAACAACCAACCAACCTGTCACAGGTGTGACATATGTCACACATGATTTTAACATCATAAAGTCTTAAAATACATTTTTAGTGAGTGACATATTCTTGATGTCTTTTAAATTGTTGCATTATTTATGCGTACTTTGATAATAAGAATATGGCGCGTGTTACCTATGTAATGTTGTTGTGGTCACATGTCTCCTATTCAGTGCAACAAATAACTTCCACGTACGTCTCGGATTCAGCGAATAAGTTATTGAACGCTCACTTTTACACCAGCGAGTACAATTATTATCACGTCCAGTAGCACCAAAAAACTCTTTGGAGCTGGACTGTTATAACCTGGTTTCGGACGCAATAGAGGGCACTTTTGCCCAGGGTTCAATTTCACGTGTTCTGTGTTCGTTACCGCGGTTATTCCTAGGCAACGATCTGTTGGTATTCGATGGATGACAGAACACCTTGTAGAAGTGTTTGGTTTCATCCGTTGTTATGCAACGGAACCACTTATCCTCTCATCTCCAGGGAAACGCGTTTGTTGTTCAGCAATTCCTATGCAACAGCCCACTGTTATTGCGTTTCCATGGAAGTATATTTTCCGGTTTCATCCATTGTTACGCAACAGAATCTCTTATCCTATGCAACTGTTCTAGCGTTACTATGGAAACGACTGCTGGATTCAGAACATGTGACATGTTTTTACCTGTTTTTTCCTGTCATAGGTGTGACATCTATATAATAGGTACATAAAAAAAACGTGCGTATTCGAATGCAAAGTTGTGTCAAAATTTCAAAGCAATCGGTGAAGAACTTTTGCAGATTTTCGTACAGGGACAAACGAACATTTACATTTTTATTTATATAGATGTTTTCAGTACTGAGACTAAACAGGGTCAGATAAAGGATGATTAATGAATATGGAGCAGCTGGTGGAATAAGAACTGACAGGAGAAACTGAAATACTAATAGAAAACCTGCCCCAGTGGAATTCTGTCCACCACAAATCCCACATGACCTGATCTGGGATCAAACCTGGGCTTCTGTGGTGGGACACTGGTGACTAACTGCCTGACTCATGGCAGAGCTGATGGCATTCTCTTATGATGGCTCTTATGAGAAGGCAGATTTCTAAATAGTTCTCTGGCTGGATGATTCAACATGACATCCTGGTTTACTTTCATCCCTTCTTGGTGCGAATTAGGTTCATGTTGGGCTTCAGCTGTTTTACCAGGGGCAGTTACCTCAGCCTGACAGGCACTATGGTTCCCCTATTTTCCTTCATCTTTTTGTAGTTTTGGGTTGCTTGCTTATATTTACTGTAACATCAAATTGTTAATCATATATCCAATTTCTTATTCTTCCATGGTTTCAATTTTCTGAGAGACTGGTGTTACCGCTTCCATGGTTATACTGTTGTTGGTCAACAGATTACCAGTCACATACATGCAGTTACGCATGCATCTTTAGTTAGCACATTATAATTAACAAACTAGTAGCTAAAGACAGGAGTTCAAGTGGAGAACAAGAAAGAAAGAGGTGATGCAATAAAATGGACATATGAACTGCAGGAGAAGACACTTGACTCAAACTGCTGACAGCTCGTAATATTGTAACATTTAGTACCGCTGCTATGCAACAATCGTGAGATGGGCAGTTATACAAAATCCGTTTCTGGGCAACGGCTCAGTAATTACATTCCCGCGGTAATGAAAAACAGTAGGTCTAAGAGAATGAACAGTGTTCTCTACACAGCCAATGCTGTGCAGTTAAAAGGAATAGAACTGGAGCAACCAAGTCAGTTGATAGCTATCAGGCAATTCTGTACAGGAGAGTGTGAAGGAAGGACCTGAGCGTGAAGGATCTCCACTGTTAGAAGCCACTACCAGGAAATGTCTAGTGAAGACACTGCAGACTGGAAACTACTTAGTGTTTGCAGCAGTGATTTGTAAAGGGTGGATTAACAATAGTGTTATAATTACTCATAGCTATGAGTGGTGTGTATAAGTGGTCAATAAATCAAGTCACCAATCCCATTCCCATGTATAGTCACACACATACTGCATGACATTAAAATGTTAATACAAGAAATGAAGAGTTCTACATAAGCAAGTAAAAAATTTGAATTTTACAGTTAAGTATGAAAAATACATCACTTCCAAACTACACATCTCATCTCTTACCACCTGAATTCGATGACGTGTCTTCAGGAAGGCCTGTTGTAGACTCTTGAGGTTGTGACAATGTTGCTTCTGCCTCCTCCAAAGTCTCACTTCCATTCTCTTCTCGCTCCAGTACAGGTTCTCCTTTATCTTCCTGTGTTTCTTCAGACTCTATTTTCGCCTCTTTTTCAGCATCTGATTTTTCATTTTTAGGAAATACTTCTTCATCAGTTTCATTCTTTGCAGTATCTGAAATTTAAAGTTCTCATATAATTTATAGGTACAACCCAAATGCCCCAAGATCAATAGGGATACATACAAAGCTTTGGTCCATGAAGAATTTCAACTCTAAATGTACTCTTAACTAACTGGCTGACTGAGGAACAAACTAACTAATTCAATCAATCAGTGTCCTCCTTCAGAAGCTGAGAGTCACTCAATTCATAAAGCTTTCCTTACATGTTGTGAAATGGAAATCCAATTACCATGTTCATAACAACCTGCTATTTAATTTTGAACTGAGATAACATTTTTGTAACATGCAAGTATTTTACGGTGAAAGGCTGGTACCACTCCCCCCACCACCAATTATCTACAATTTGTTGACATGACAGAATGACCTTTGTCAGGGTAGAAGATGAAGATAAGCAACTGATTGAAGAGCATGGGTTTCTGAGTTGCGACACTTTGTAGTCAGGAGACAGCCGCAGCATTCTGGAAGAACATACCACCTCCATCTTCACAGTCAAGGCAAATTCCAAGCTATAAAGCAAAGATGGCTCAGCATGTCACCTACTTCAGATGGTTTCTTGCCATCATATGTAGTAGTCCATAATACAGTAATTTTGGTAGAAAATTTGCTTCTATACTCTGTGGTCTGACACTGGTGCTAATCATGTGTTCAGTCAAAAGTGAAGAGAAACGCCAGACTTTTAACTCTGCTCTAACAGACCTCAGTACAGTGTGCCTCATACAAGGGGTGAAAAACATTAAGGCAGTCCTAAAGATGAAGGTGATATGTTCCTCCAAAATGTTGGTTTGTCTCCAAATGGCATGGTGTTAAACAGAGAAGACTGTACACTTTGTAATTTTATTGTAAGTGAAATTCAACATTAATAGAACAACCACTGCAAAAAAAAAAGAGAAAATACTGTTTTGTTTCCAAACGACATACCTTTAACTATGTCATCTCTTAGCTTCTTAGGTTTCCATATTTTAGCCTTATTGACTAGATATTTTACCTGAAGAACAGAGAGCAATAAGTTTAATTATCACAGATGAAAATCAGTTACAGCCAGTGAATAAAGCAAAATAACATTCACTAATCATTTCTGCCTCAGTGTTAAATGCATGTTAAAAAACCAATTATAAAACATGATGCCCCTGTACAATTAAAAATAAAATATCAGAACACTGAGAAAGATAGTCCTTGAAGTATGCAGAGAATCAGAGAGAAGCTACTGCAAGATAGTTATGCAGAAAATGTGGGACTGAAGGTAGCCAAATGTTTTTTTTTGTTTCACTGAAACTCTACTACCCATTTGTATTGAACCTGTAGCTGTCAGAAACTTAAGACTACATAGCACGAAATGACTAGCAAACTATACCAACTGAGCGACTGCCGCTTGTCAGCGAAGTTAGTGCCAAATTTTGCGGAGAGAGAGTGTCACATCGTCAATGCAATGAATGCCCATGGTCATTATTTTCAGTCTTCAAGACCGGAGCCGCTATTTCCTTGAAATAGCTCCACAATTATCCTCAAGAGGCTGAGTGGACCCTGTTCAAGACCCACTACTTCTCAGAAAATTTCGTAGCGTTGGGAATCAAACCCGGACCTCTGGATATGTAGCCAGGTGCGCTGACTACTAGACCAGAGAGTTGGTCTACAGAAGGATTATCATAAACATTAATTACATTGCTGTTCAACACAATAGTCCATAATGCAATAATTTCAACAGACAATTTGTTTCTATACTCTGGAGTCTCAGACTGGTGCTTCTTGAGTATTCAGAATGTGGAAGTTAGAAGTGATGAGAAATCCTGGGTTGTGAACTGTGCTATACATGCTCTAACAGACCTCAATACAGTGTGCGTCATGGAAAGAATGAAAAACTTATAGCAGCCCTAAGAAGGGCCCTTCACCTGCTCACTGTTCCACTGCAGTACCTTAACTTACTTTTGTTCCTTACAACAACATTAGAAAAGACAACTGTTACTAGAACAAACAGGTATGCACAATTGTTTCAATAAGGCCATAATAATATCTAGATTCAGTACAATAAGTGAGAATAAAATATTGTCCTGGGCACAACAGAATTCTTTATTGCATGTGGATTCTGAAGCGTTCTGACAATGGTGCCAGTGATTGAGGTTAGCTGCTTCTAATAGACCCAAAAGAGTGTCTCCCACCCCTCACCTCAGGACCGAAAAAGATCCAGTTTCCAAAGTGTTGTGTTATTTAGAATACCAGATGAAGGTAAAAGACCAAAACCCAGTAATCCTGAGTACATATTGCTTGTCTGCAAAATACTGTGCATGTGAACCCACTGCTTGGCAACAATGGTGAGATAAGCAAATATACAACAGTCATTACTAAGTAAGGGTCCACAAATAAGCATGTTTCCATGGTAACAACTGGATATAGCAACACAGGAATGTATGTCATCTGTGCAGTCTGTGCCAAGATGTTATAAGCATGACAGTTTGCCAGTCAGTTGAGTGGAGTTAGTTAAGAGAGTTGGTTGGTGAGTGACTGAGTAAGTTAGTGAACTGCTGAGGTTCTGTTGTTGGGAACGCTTGCTATTAGAACCAATAGGAAGAGGAACGTATACCATGGGAACCACCAAGCGACGGCTAGTGAAGACGTGTGTGTGTGTGTGTGCACGTGTGTGCGCATGCACGCACGTATGTAACAGTGTACTGTAAAGTATAGTCATGTACTGTATCAGAGAGTCCAATATATCAAATTACCAATCCCAATCCTGTCTATAGTCACACTCCAATCATGTGACAACATGAATCTCATCAGAGGATGAATGCTTGCATCCTACTGGTATACAAGGAAATCACAGCATACTGCTTGCTTTCAATGACATGCTAACATATGCTAAGGTCTTTCCATTTAGTTGATAACACTTACTTCTTTCTTTAAGGGAATATGCCTGATTATAATAATATAGAATTTCACAAAGGCCTTCAAAAAATAAGTCTGCAGTTCACTACAAATGAAGCATACAAGAACTCGCTGGTCTCACCTCTCTGTCAAGAAGAGCCATTTTTTCTGTGATGGATTTAACTGTCAATTTTGGTGTTGCTGAGGGAGGTAAGCTTGACTGTTCCTCTTCCATTGTTGTTTTCCATTCCTATTACAAAGTAAAAATGCAAATAAAATAGAAATATTTCCCTTTCAAAATTTAGAATATGTAGAGCTGTTATATGGGAATGTGATGGTTGAACCTAAAATAAATTTAATTTTTCATAATCATTATATTTATCTTCCTACTGTTTTAAAACTCTGAGCAACATTAAAGCATAAATGTATATTGTCAAAACTTCTCCTCTTAAACACAACAGCAAATTCCATCTCAGCATGCATGAGGTTTCTATATATTTTTTTAATTATTCTCAGCACTAGATAACTGGGCTACTGCATATGGCATGGACTCTTATTGCCTGCCAAGTTGGCCACGTAACATCATAGGAACTAAAATTAAATTAACAGCTTCCCGATGATGGCAGACATAGTAAGTTTGTTTGTGCTGTAGTCAAATTAAATAAATGAGGGATTAATTGCAAGACAATAATTCCAATGTGGCTGCAAACATCTGTAGTAAAAGTAACAGCATCACTTAGAATATTTTAATTATTATTAAAAGACAATCTACCATCCACCATCTAACATTCTCATAATGGTGATTTTGAAGAGTATTATCTTCCAGGATATTGATCTGCATACAGCGAGCAAGCGCTGCTGTTACTGATGCTTCTTTGTTACTTGCTTTCTTTACTCTTTAACCCTGAAGATGGAGGCGGTATGTTCCTCTGAGACATCAGTAAACTTCTACCACACTCTAAAGCATCATATCCCAGAAGATAGCAATCTTCAGAAGGCCGTTGAGTTACAAATAAGCGGTGAAGAAACCTTTTGTTTCAGTAACACTGACAACAAACTGTTAATTGTATAAATAGCATAAATGCAAAAGATACTTCCCCATGCATATGTGGTCTGACAATGAAGTCTGCGAACTCATTGCGGTAAAATTGCTGTATACCTCATTGCTGAATATCATGGTGGTCACCTTCAAAGTACTCCCCTTGGGAAGCTATGCATGGGTGCCAGTGCCTAGTCCACCCTTCAAAACAATCTTAGAACTGGTTTTGTGGAATGGCCTTCAGAGCTGCCATCGCATTACTCCTGATGTCATCAAAATGCCTTCCTTTCAATATTTCCTTTATCTTCAGGAACAGAAAAAAAGTTACTGGGGGCTAGATCCGGTGAATAGGGAGGGTGTTCCAGCACAGTTATTTACTAGCTAAGAACTCCCTCAAAGATAGTATTCTTTGGTGCTCTCCTTTGGGACCATTTCTGCACACACCTTCCTCATGTCAAGATCATCAGTTGAGATTTTCCTAACCGTTTCTCTGTCAATGTCTGCTTGCTCTGCTATGCTCCTGACAGCCAGCCGATGATTTTCATGAATTTGATGATCTTCCCTCAGAAAAACGTGTCACCCACTTGTAAACTGCCGTTTTCTTCACAGCATCACTCTGATTTCACTTCCACTCTTGCCACATTCAAAAATAAATTGAATGTTTGTTCTGACATTCTCATGAGGGCACACCAAAAACACACTCAGACAATAACAGACGCCACTCAGAAAAAGACTTCCATAGATCAACCCCAACACAACTGTGAAATGCTGATATGCAAACGTTATCAAAATATGCTGAAGTTTCTGTCCACTGCTATCAAGGCAAGCACATGGTGGTGAGTTTGTGAACTTTATTGTCAGACCTCGTATTATAGAATATTAGAATTACATCTGACAAATAGACTCCTTCAAGTAATATTCAAAGATGAAATCACAATCTTAAGGGAAACTGAAACAGGCATACCACTAGGAAGTGTCTTAGGACCTGTCCTATATCTTATCTACACAAGTTAACTCCCAACAACACACAACAAGATGGCTACCTTCACTGATGATATAGCAATCTTAACCACACATGAAAATCAAGCGACAGCCTCAATGAAACTCCAAGCCACCATCAATAAGACTGACGAGTGGGTGAAGAAATGGAGAATTAAAACAACTCAAAGCAAGTCCATGCATATTACATTCAACCAATTCAACCAAACCTGTCCAACAGTGCAAATGGGCAATGTTGATCTACCCCAGAAAAATGAAATGAAATACCTGGGCATACATCTCGATAGAAGATTGACATAAGCAAAGCACATCAAAACAAAAAGAAAACAGCTCAATCTAAAAGCGAAACAAATTCATTGGCCACTTGGAAGAAGATAAACACTATCAACAGAAAGCAAACTGCTCCTATACAAAGCAGTACTCAAACCCATATAGAACTATGGGGGACAGCCTCCAATTCCAACACCTAAATCCTCCAGCACTTTCAATCCAAGACTCTCCGATCCATCCTGAATGCACCTTGGTACATAAACAATTACAGGGTCCATTAAGATCTACAAATGAACACAGTGCTCAGCGAAATAAAAAAGTGGAATACCAGATACATAAGAAAATTAGAAAATCACACTAATGCAGTAGCAATGAGCCCACTAGAATACAGCAAAACTACACACTGAGTGAAAGATACACCAGCCTAACCCTACCAGACCTCAGTAAACCTCCAATAAAATGACACCTAACTGAACAAAAAAAGAAGCATATTAGCTACACCACTGGGCGTAACTCATTCACAAGCCAGTACTTACTGAACATACAAGGGGTACCCAAAAGAAACCGAACTTATTTTTTTTTAACTTATTTATTCAAATTTTAAACACAAACCTTCAATCCCCTTCAAAGTACTCTCCACTTACACTAATACACTTGTCTAGTCTTTTATTCCATTTTTCAAAACACCGTCTAAATTCATCTTTTGAGATGCTTGACAGCACCTCCGTTGTTTTTTCCTTCACCTCAGCAACATAACGCTTTCCTTTCATGTCTCTTTTCATTCGAGGAAACAAAAGAAGTCGGGACTCTTCTTTCAAAGCACAGCATGCTTCCACGCGACCTTGTTTTTGTTCAGCAGTCAGCAGTCGTGGCACAAATTTTGCAGCCACCCTTTTCATTCCCAAATCTTCTGTCAAAATTCGCTGAACTGAGCTCCAAGTCACTCCCGACAGCTCCACAATTTCTTCAATGGTCCGTTGTTGATCTTCCTTGATGATATCACGAATTTTTCCAACATTTTCATGTGTTCGGGCCGTGGAAGGACGACCAGAACGAGGTTTGTCATCAATTGCCATTTCACCATTTTTGAAACAGGAAAACCACTCAAACACTTGAGTTTTCCCCATAGCACCGTCCTTGTATGCCGTTTTTAACATTTCAATAGTTTCTGTTCCACTTTTCCCGAGCAAGAAGCAGAATTTCACCGCCGCACGCTGTTCACGAAAATCAGCCGTTGCAAAAACGACGATCACACAAAACAGTTGTCACTATGAACTCTGCCGAAACTAGTCCTTACCTTCTGAAGCAACGGTAGTCGGCTTATCGACTCAGAAATGTTAGCTCTATGCGCTCATAGCGGCAAAACGCGGTACTACAAAAGCTCTGCCCACAAAGAAATTAGTTCGGTTTCTTTTGGGTACCCCACCGTATACTTTTACTGCAGACTCTGCAGATCATGTATAATAAATGTGTGGGGAAAAAAAGAATTAAAAGGATCTCACTTATTTACTATTTAATTCCAGTTAATTTAAGGATACTGTCAGTAGCTGGACTATATAGAGTCCAACGGTAGGATGACTGGTTCCTAATGAACTGGAAACAGTATGGAAGGAAGCAGTCATGACTCAGCTTGAGGTACTATCCCAATATGGGCCTGAAGGAGTACAGAGGCCAAGATTTGAACCTGGGAGTTCCTGAATGTGAAGTAAGTGTATTTGTCACTCAGTGGTGATATTTGATAAAAGAATCTTGTCCTACAGGTGAGTAAATGTAAGTACTCACTTACCTGGGTTTCCTTAATTACTTTCTCTAGTGTGTCAAGTTCAACTTGTGTGAACAGTCCATCAGGACTGTCAGTGGTCATATTCCTTGCACTGGCAAGAAAATTTGAACTGCCATTTAACATAGAATGAAGCGCTGCTAATGCTTCAGGTCTCTCCATGTGCTCCTTAACTCGCCTATACAAAGGCCCTGTTAATGTCTTGAGTTCGCTAAGCTTTGCTTCATACGTTGCTGCTTCAGCATCAGAGCCTTTGTCATACAACCAATCTGACACCTGGTAGCACATGTGGAAATAAAAATCAATCATTTCATGTAATATCAAACGTGAAATTAGTAACACAAAGGTAGCTGGATTTAATGACTTTTCATAACTAAACTCTCACCTCAGAACATGACTGCTTGATTTTTTCTATCTCCTCTTCAGTTGCTGCAGCTTGGTACTCATCTAACCACAGTTTTCCTTGGGCATCAAATACAAAGCTCTCCAAGGCATTTAGTGCGCTTTCTCTTCGACTCCTTTGTCTATCAAATTCATTTAGAGCTTCAATTCTGTAACGAAGGTATATCCAAGAATATCATAACCAAATAATGGATCATGTGACAATGAGAAAAGTACAAATGGAAGTCCAAACATACCGTCCAAGACGATGAAAAACACAATACCCTCATCAGTAGCATTTTCACTTATGCATTCTGTTTCTTCAGGGAGGACAGAGGATTTTCCAAACATTACACATGCTCTTACCATAACTTTCAGCACAGAGGCCACAAAATTTTTTAAGTGATCATACACTTCTTGAATAAATGAAAAATGGACTTTACCAAATTAATATTTACAAATATTACTTTTTACTATTATACAATCATAAATATTGATATTTAGCCCTGAATTCCTGGTTTTGTATACCTAAAGGTGCAGTTAATGAAATGTTGGATGGGTTTTGCATTATCATGAAGAGATTTGTGTGTAGGGTTGTAAATTGTGAAACCCCGCAACAGTGTTGTAATTAATTGTAGCCAGTACTTGTAGGTTGTTAAATAAACCAATTAACAATCTGAACGGCGTCTTCAGTAACGAAACACGCTACAATATTCTGTTTCTTAAACCCTTTCTGGTTGTATGTTGATATACATATTCAATATGGTGTCACTGCTTCCATAGATGAATGTCGATACATGATCAACAAGGTTTTTTCAAAGTTTCTCCACTCATATGACCACTACTGGACACTGTCTTCTGTGCCAACGCATTCATGAATGTTTCGTCTGCCTTCTTCTACCACCTGGAAGTCATTATTTGAACTTCTTGAGGAACAAATGCAATTTATATATTACAGTGTGTCATGTGTTAGCAAAATGTTTTTATGTGCAGCCACACCTCAACCCTCTGCACTGAAAAATCTGACATATAATCCCTTGTGTGACGCAGATGAAGACTCAAGTAGTGATACGTTAAGTGATGAACTCCTTATTGATTCTGATGATGAGATTAATTTGGAAATTGAAGGAGAAACTGCGAGTGAACAATCAAGCAACAAGATGTCGGAAGGTGAAACAAGTGTTGCTGCATGTCGATGGGTGAGAAGAGAAGACAATGGACGATAAGAAATCCAAGTCATACACATTTGCTAAAACTGCGGAGCCACAATTTAACCTTCTGCCAGATGCAGAGCCCATGAATTATTTTATTTTATTTTTCAATGACGAGCTTTTGAATAACATTGTCAAATAACAGAGTCAAAGAGATATTCATTCATTCATTGTTGGAGGAGGTGGGTTTCCCCATGCACTTAGACCAGTTATTGGTCCACTGTGCATCCCCTTTAATTTCTACTGTCTCCATACCCTACCGGTGCTGGTGCCCGTTATCAGCCCCTTTCTGCCAGCGTGGTCGGCCCTCTACTGGCAGTGGTATCTGATAATTAGTCCCTTTCTGTCAGCGAGGTCGGTCCTCATCTGGCAGTGGTACCTAATGCTTTCCCCATCTGCCGGAGGCATTGGAAACTACTTGGGCGGCAAAATTTGCCTAATTTAGCTCAGAGGTCTCCTAGAGACATGAGGTTCTTTTACGTGCCGTAAATCTACGACACGGGACCCAAGGCTTAAAGTCCCTCCCGGAGGACTTGTTCCCTGAATTTTTTTCGCCCTTAAAAATTCCACGACCTCTGCCGGGTTTGAACCCACGTACCTTGAGTCATGAGGTGGGAACGTTACCCCTAGACTACGGAGGCCGCTGTCAAAGAGGTATGTGAGACACAAAATTACTGAACTTCAGCTAACCCCATGGTCTGATGTGTCTGTTCTTGAAGTGAAGTCATTTTTAGGTCTAATTATAAATATGGGCCTAATCCCTGTACCTCACATGAAAGACTATACAGATCAAATTTCTTTGATGATGTAATATTCAGAGATCGCTTTTTACAAATAACCTCAAATCTTGGGACTACACGGGGCGATAACCCGAAAGACTGCAATATAAATCTCCAACACCATGAAAACTCGAAATTTCATATAAATGATGAGTTGTAAATAAAAGAAAAAGTATTCACCAGCATGTCAACAGAAAATGAAAATGGTGAGGTCTTGAAGAATATGATTTTCTGAGTTACAATTCTGTGTAGCTTGGAGACAGCCTGACATTTCTGAGGAACATATCACCCTTGTCTTCAAAGTCTAAGAGTATGCCAAGAAAAAAAACCAGCAGAAGCAGGTGGCAAACTGAGCATGCTCAGCTTGCCGCCTGCTTCTGCTCATCTCCTACATGGTAGACTCTATGAACTACACAGCATAAAAACCCAGAAGTCACTACCATATGAATCTCAAATTGAAAATGGTGAGGTTTTGATTTTGGGAGATAGAAGTAAATATGCAGCCTTATTTAACTGCAATTTGCTTAACGTTCCTTCCCACAATAGTGGCCAATTAAGGAACTGAATGTATGAGAAGCAGTAATATTGTACAGAGTGGGGTGCAGAAACTTCCTTTTTGTGAAGACACATTGTGAAGGGAGGGGAAGTCACAGAAAAGTGGGGATAGGCTCAGCGAATGCAGCAGTAGCGGAAGTTTCTGTCTAATACCCCTCAGTAGGAAACATGAGGTGGACGAGTGAGCAGCGTGCATTTGTTGTCGAAGCCTATTTTTCGAACAACCATTCTTACATGTAGCGGTGCAGCGTGCGTTCCTTACTCACTTCAGAATTAAGCCCAGAGGTCCAGTTCCCGGCTGGAAATCGATTGTTTTGTGGGAAGAGAACTTTAGGACAACTGGGAGTGTGGTGAAAAAATCATCAGGATGACAACGGACCGTTACGACACCAGAAAATGTGGAAGCAGTTCGACAGTCGATTTTGAGATCTCCAAGACCCTCCGCTCACAAACATGTAGTTGCCCTAGACATATCCAATCATTCAATGCGCCGAATACTTCACGAACCTCTTCATTTCCATCCCTATAAGATGGTTGTTGTGCAAGAACTGTCACCACGTGATTTCCAGAACCGAATAATGGCATGTGAAACGTTATTGGAAACATTACCCCCTTATGCACTTGTTTTCTTTAGTGATGAGGCACATTTTCACCTATCCGGATATGTCAACAAGCAGAATATGTGCTACTGGAGTGGTAACAATCTGCGAGAGCTCCATGAGAGGCCACTTCACAGTGATAAGGTGACAGTATGGTGTGCGATGTTGAGAGTTGGAGTTATTGGCCCTTATTTTTTGAAGACAATCATGCAGTTACTGTCAATTCACAGTGGTATGTGGATATGATTAAAAACTTTTTTGCACCAGCTCTTGAAGAAATGCATCTAGGAAATGTCTGGTTCCAACAGGATGGTGCCATGGCCCACACAGCCCGAGCTTCGATGACAGTTTTGAGGACAAAGTTCCCCGGACGGCTCATCTCGCTTCGAGGTGACATCCCATGGGCAGTGCACTCACCTGATCTAATGCCCTGTGATTCTTTTTTATAGGGATACCTCAAGGCAGAGGTTTTTAAACATTGCCCCACAAACCTGCTTCAGCTGAAGAATGTTATTCGACAGGAAGTAGCCCAAATTCCAGTGCACATGATGGAAAGTGCAGAGGGGAACTTCAGAAAACGGTTGCATCAGTGCCTAGACAACAGTGGCCACCACCTTCAAGATATTTTGTTTAAAACTACATAATTTAAAACTTTAAAGTATGTTGAAGAAAGCAGTCTTCTGGGATTTGGCACCGTGTATATGTGGTGTTAACCGACGTTTCGGAGGAACGTATCGCCTCCATCTTCAGGGTAGAAGAAAAAGTATAAGAAATCTGCAAGCGACAAGACCGTGAGAACGGTAAAAGCAGTCACCGCCGTGAAAGCCTCAAATCTTTAAAGTATGTTCTTTCATTAGCTAAACATAAATTTTGTCTATCAGCAATAATTTTTCTTCTATTCACCTTCAAAAAAAGGAAGTTTCTGGGCCCCACCCTGTATACTGGGTGGATGTAAGAAGTTAATATATTTTCTAAATTTGTTCCATTTTCTCCAGTAACCTTACTTTTTTAAACCTTTAATATGTCTGTAATATTATATTACATTGTTACATTAATGAGGTCATAATGGAGTCATGTATTCAGAGTTTCTTGGCAAACAGTAAAAAGGTGAACCCTCATTTAAGATACATGATACTCAAAACTGTATCTTTCATATCTTCTGCATTATGTACCTGTACAATGATATTTTACAAATAAACATAATTTTAAGTCAGGCCAAGTGTAACACTTGCACTTCTCTAAATATGAAAGAAGTTTTGCTTAAATACAAACATCAGAATAACTTAAACGTACTTACTTATTACGAGCCTCTTCCAGTAGCTTTCCTTTAAGATCAGGTACTCCTAATTTATCTTCAAATGAAGTAATTTCCTCCTTAATAACCACAACCTTTGGTTTCCTTTCTCCATTTCCTGCCTTTGATGCATTCTTTGCATCATTAGGAGCTTCTTTCTTCTTTTCTTCTGTCTCTTCTGCCCGTCCTTGTTGCGGTGGTTTCTCATCCTTTCTTTCTTCTTCTTTCGTCTTCCCTTCATTATTTTCTGGCTCCTGCTTCTTTTCTTCTCCTTCATTTACTGGTTTTTCCTTTACCTTTTCCTCTTTCTTCTCTTCTGATCCTGAAATAATGAACATATGACAAGATAATGATGCTTATTTGGTTGTCGTGGCGGCAGCGGTGGTGGTGGTGGCAGTGGGTGTGTGGGTGGGGTGCTAATGGCAGTAGCAGCAGTAGTACTATCTCTTCCACAAGAATCAAGTATATTTTAAGTTGCCCAAAAATTCTTAGAAGAGAGACAACTCCAATGCCACTGCAGATACTGCATACCAAATATAAAAGTACATTCATTTATTTGGAATGGAGTTATTTATATACATAAATATCTATCAAAAATACAACTTAAAACCTTGTTCTACTTCCAGAATTACTGGAGTTTGGGACTTTTTTCACCGGACCAGTGGTCCAGTGATTGAGATTAGTTCTTTCTAAGGGGCCCAACTGAGTAGGTGTCTTCCTTTCTCACCTGAAAACGGAAACAGATCCAGTTTCCAAAACATCGTGTCCTCTATTACCTAAAATTTTCCGGATGATGGAACAAGGCCAAATCCCAGTAATTCTGTGTCATCCCACCATTGTCAGAACCCTTTAGAATCTACTTGCCCTACTTCTCTGTCATTACGCATTTCAGTCGTATATGACCATCATCAGGTGCATGTCCACCTAGCACTGTATGTTAGAATCACATATCGCATGTGAATGCACTGTTGATTATTAATTAAAATATAAAATTATAATAAAAAATTACAATTAAAACTTCATAAATGTTATGTTCACTGCAGTCATCAGCTATTCACTGAAATGCGTTTATCTGAGGGTACATTTGCAGATGTTGGAACTTGTTGCACGTCTTTATATCAAGCATGACCTGCTCCTTCAACTTCCTGCATTTCAATTTTCTTCAAAACTGCAGTGTTAACGTGACACTTCAGTTCAGAACTTGGCAAGTACAATATGAAGATAGAACTAAAAATGAAATTTGTAGAGAGGAAACTGGAATTCATATCTTGTTAAAAGATAATTATTAAAATTATTAAAATGGCTTGGCCATGTGAAAAGAAGACACACAAGGGTACTGAGAAGGCCATCAGAATTCAAACTGAAGAGGCTAGAGGCTTTCTGCTCACCAGCCTGTATTTAATGGAAACACTGCTAGAAGAATAGAGGCACACAGTAGCATAGTTTGTTGAAGCACTATGCTACAAGCCGGAAGGTCACATGTTCGATTCCTGAAGAGGTCACTGGATTTTTCAATTAACCTAATCCTTCCTGCTGTACTATGCCCCTGGGGTCAACTCAGCCTCCAATAGAAATGAGTATAGGAATCTTCCTGGGGGATGAAGGGTGGTCGGCACGTAACGTTGATAACCTCACCACCATCTGTGAGCCAATGTTCTAGAAAATGTTACAGCCTCGAAATCTCACAATCCCACAGGCCTCCATGGTCTACCTTACTTTAGTTAGGAGAATAAGAAAAGGAGTGCACTTTACTTGGTAAATACTAGTGAAATAGTATCACTAAAGGAACAGTGAACAATGTTGCACTTGGACAATGCAAAAACTCCTAAGTCAGATAAATACTTCCTGTTTGCTATTGTCTCATTTGAGTTAAAAGAATGTGTTGGTTTAAGATATAATCATCATAGTTCCATTCATAGTTTATTTAATGACACCATCATAAGTCAGAGTATACAGTATCCAATGACTGAATGATACTGACTTCTGGATTAGAAAGGATGAGGAAGGGAAGTGTGTGTAGCCCAATTTAAAGCACTGTCTTGGTATTCCAATGGGGGGGGGGGCGGTTGATAAAACTGAGTCAGTGTCCAGGCCGAGATTTCAACTAAGCACCTCCCATATATATAGTCACATGTGTTACTACTTGAGCCAACTTGCTCAGTATTCACCATCTTAGAATGATTCATTGCCGCTGGTTGAACTATACAGCTTAAAATCATGTAAATAGAACAACAATTTATATTTTAAATTTAATTTTAAAAAAATCTTTACACGCGCGGAATGCGCGACATCATATGATGTCGTTCGGCAATTTGTCCTTACTTTTAACGTCATATGACGTCGCTAGATTACATTAGATCATGCAGGAAGGAAGGCTGTCTCCTTATAAAGGTGGTGACCAAAAATCATGTAAATAGAACAACAATTTATATTTTTAATTTAATTTTAAAAAAACCTTACACGCGTGGAATCCGCGACATCATATGATGACGTTCGGCCAGCTGCCCTAACTTTTAACGACATCATATGATGACGTTCGTCCAGTAAAGATTAATCTAAGCTACAACAGGTCCTTGTTATATAGGCTCCGCAACCTTCTGGCTTGTAGCACAGTGCCTCAACCAACTGTTACTATGTGCCCCCCCTCCCTTCTACACTAGTTCTCCTAAGTGGTTTCTTCTCTTTAGTCTCTCAGGTTAAAATTTTGCCTGCAACTCTAATTTCCCTATATGCATGCTACATTCCCTATCTATCTCATCCTCCTTTATTTCATCATCCTAATAATATTTGGTGAAGTGCTTTTAATGACAAAGTACTACATGCCTGTGAAGAAGTTGCTGATAGTGCTGCCCAACTTGGAGAGGGGAGATTCTTCTTGAGCTGCTAGTTCCTCCTCTGTTAATGTCTTTTCTACAACCAGTTCCACATTGGCTAGGTTTAGAAGTCCACTCTCATCCATAGAAAAGTGAGCCTTAATGCCTTTGGATTCCACATTATTCCCAAGATGTTTAGCCACAGCCTCTGCTACACCTGTCAACTCTACTCTGCTCAAATTTAATGGTCCCAGAGCTCTGTCAACACAGAAAATACCCATTACTGACATCTGATGTAATATGAATATGTATTTAATTAAGAAGTAATGTTAAGTTAATCTCATTGGTCTAACCACCAATAAATCATGCAGGAGGTCATACAGATCGAAATCATTTGATGTTAATATACTAATTAGATATCAAAATATTGTAATGTAGCATCATGTTGCACATCACTTATTTATTCCTGTCAGTTATTAGCTGTCTCACATGAAACTTGCAACACGTCATACGCAGAATACTAATACAAGATACCAATACATGTTACAGACACATGGGCACACAAGCACATACCCAAAATCTGAACTTACAGACGGAACCATAGCAGTTTCATCGAAAATTTTAGAGACATCTGAAGATGACCAATGTTGGTTAAAACATGTAATGTGCATACACCAGATACACAGAAGAATGTCAGCCTTGAATGTGAGCTTGCCTGTCATTCAAAATGGAAGTTCTATTTCTGTGCACCAGATCAACCATGTTACATTCGGATATGTGGAGCAATTCAATTTGCCCTTAACAATAAATTTTTCTGTCATCTGATAGATTTAATTAAAATATAATTTTTAATAAGAATATACTTTCTGAAACTTATCTCAGCAAATTGATGCAGATGCATATTAGCAAATCATTCAAAACTCCTTCTGCTCAAAATGCCTGTGCAACATGACCTTCAAAGACCAAAAGCTTTGGACTCACAGAAATGTTTCAGAAGAATCTATTACTAGGCAACAAGTACCAGTCCCCAACAGCCATGTGCACACTTGGTGGGGGTGGTGTCTTCTAATCAGTCCACAACAAAGCAACATGCAGAGAGCCCCTAGGCTAACAGAGGAGTCCCCATTATCTGAGCTCACAATCTAGCAATGAGTACAGTACAAAAGAATGATTCTAAATACTCAAGAACCATTGTAATCATCTGCAAATAAGACAGTTCAGTGTCCAATAAATCTAATTATTGAAATGAACCTGTAGTTCAGTCACTACCATGTGACACCTGTTTAGGATACACTACACGCTTTTAAAATTCTTCTTTATAACATTCTGCATTAGGTACACTAATAAACTCTGAATATTTTAGATCTGAAAACTTCTGATCCAAATTAAACAAGCTAATACAAAAATTTATATTATACTCACTGCATTTCAAGGTGAGAGAGGTGATCCAATTCTGCATAACTCACATAGAATGAGAAATCATGTTGATGTTTGTTAAATGTCAGAATTTTCTTCTGTGGGAATGGGTTCATTGGCCCAAAAAGTGTTCTTTTAACATGTTTTGGTGAGGCAGACCCTTCCACATCTCGTTCGAACACAACCTGTACAATAAATATGAAGTCCATTACGTGGGAATCCACTATAATCCATACATCACAAACACGGGACCAAGCAGGATATCTGTATACAAACAAGTATAAATACAAGAGAGAAAGAATCTAGTTGGAAATACTGAAGAAGGATATTACATTAATCCTAACCCACTTTTGAAATTCCTAAGTCTAATCAATTTGCATAATTTAGTATTCTACACTCATGTCCACATTACAAAAATGATGAGTTTTGCAGAACAGACATAATGGTTAATTGTGGTGGATTATATACAGCTAAACAAAGTAAAAAATACCCTAAAAACAACTGAGAAGAATTATGTGTAGCCAACTGTGGAAACAGCAGAGCTTTCGATGTACAGCTATAAACTGAAAATTGCATAATGCAGAGAAAAAATTCACTTCAACTAAGTTTTTATGAAAATGTAAATGAAGCCAAGAAACACACATACATACACATACTGTCATATTCGTTTGAGAACCAAAATTTGGAATTTGTATCAACTGGGAATCAAGAATAATAATATTATTAAATTAGTCAATATAATTTATTAAAGACAGCCAATGTTAAATGTCATAATCAAACATGATGACAGGTTCACATGTTTCCATCTTTCACTCAATCCAAACCATCCCTAGCAAAGAGCAAAGTTTGTACACAGTCAGAAAATCAAAGTGTACCTTACATAACAAGCTGACCAAAGCAAAACATGACCGTCCTCTTACTTTGTGGCATTTCTCTGCACCTTTTACACTTTCTGACATATTAACTATTTACATAACAGAAATTAATTTAATAACATCCTGAAATACAAATTATGAAAATTTTGTACAATCTGAGGTTCTGACACCAGTGGTTATGAAGAGTACTATCTTCTGGGATATAACATAGTGGAGTTTGTTGAAAAGTCAACTGCTCTGCTTGCCAACTGCTTTCATGTTATCTTGCTCAGAATATTCTTTGACCCTGAAGATGGAGATATGTTCCTCCAAAATGTCATCTGACTTCCCATGGACTACACCGCATTATATCCCAGAAGATATGACAATTTTCAATGCTGACTGATATAGTTAGTATGTAAAACACAAGCAACCTGAAACAAGACATTTCTCCTAGCTTTCCAGAAGAGATTAGCAACTTCAACATGATTAGATGACATGACAGTATTTTGAACAAAATATTCTGAGCATCTTTGTTCTTTCCTGTGATGCAATGATAGGTGCCCTCACATGCATGTTTTGATATGTAAGACAGGCATGATCTGCTCTGTAAAGCCTGTACTGACAGAGGACTTCTATATAGTACAAAAGGAAGAATTTTCAGTAACATGCTATATACTATACGATATGTACACTTGATGAGAGGAAGTCTAGTTGTGGGTTTCAAGGGACTTGATACCAAGACAAACTGATTGGCTGTAAGTCAACAGTCATAAAGTAACTATGATAATGACTTTGACTTTGAGCCAGGGAGAGAGTGCAGGCAGATAGACCAGTCCAAGCATCAGGTTGTGAGACAGTTGCCCTTAGTGGGGGTGTGGGACTCCACAATGTTGGAAGCTGCTGCATAGCAACACCTAGTGAAGACACAGAAGAGTCAGCACGTGCTACAGTGAACTGTAAAGTGTATGAATTATGGAAACAGTTATAATTACTTGTAGTCACAAGTTGTGTAAGAGTCCACTAAATCTGATAACTAATCTAAATACCATCCAGTAACTGATGTTATACCATCTCATAAGTTGCCATGTCAAGACATACAAGAAATATATCTGTCTTTCTTTGGCAATGCCCTCTTCAAGAAAATGACATCAGCAAACCTCATACACAACTAATCAAAGTTTTGGGTAACAGAACATACCAGTGAAGGCCCCACAAACACTGAATTATGCAAGTGGAGAGGAGACATCGGAAGATTCCCTGATGGGACTATAAGAGGCCTATAGTGTCATATTTCAAGGCAAATTCAGTCATGTAGAGTGCTTCTATTAAACAGTAAAGCTTCAGAAGATGGGAGTAAAAGACGTACGGCCTTCTAAAGGGTTCTGACTATGGTGTATAACACTTAGAAATACTTGGTTTTTGGACTCTGTCCATTGTCCAGTATTCTAAAAACTAGAAAACACAACGTTTCAAAAACTATATCTGTTTCTGTCCTCAGATGAAAGGGGAGGCATCTACTCTGTTGCGTTACTTAGAAAGAGCTAACCCCAATTACCAGTTTTTAGAATGCCGGACAATGGACAAAGTCCAAAAACCCAGTAATTCTGAATGTATAGCCTTGTATTACAGATGCCCAATTCCTTTGAAATTCAAAACACCAAGATCCATTTCTTCATATAATTTATCTATTCTTTTAGTCGACTGAATGATTCCACATTACTGAGACTAACTCAGGCTTGTAGGTGTATACTGATTTCTGAAAATATGTTAGAATGGGTACAGTTGTCCCTGTGCTTAACTAAGCACTACACCACGAAGAAGTATGGGGGGAGTGGATGAACAGACTCACATTATTAGAATGGGAGGAAACAAAATTTTTCTAAATTAAATGCTGTTCAATGGAAGAATACTGGTTTGTGGAGAGATCAAGAAAGATAAACAAAATTCTGGTGTTTATTTCTGTGTAGGTGGAAAGAAGAACCCTGAATTATTCTAATTGGAAGACTGGCTATGACAACTTTATGTTCACTAGGAGAGTTATTATGTTTTATTTCATTCCATTTTCCTGGGATTCAATTTTACTTATAACATCTAAATTTCCATTCACATTATGTTGCTGCTTCCCAGTGCGATTTCTATGCCTTTTTTGTACACACATCCCACATGTGATCTGCTTCAGTGCCATGTGATTAAGTACCAGTTTTATCTCACAGGTTTAAGAGGCAGCACTTCTGTGGTGCTTGGTGAACAAACATAATGAAAGAATTATACTACATATTTACTTAACAGCCCCCAGAGAGCAGGTATTACTGCCTGAATATGGAAACAGAGCAACCCCTAAAATCTGGACAGTGGGCAAATAAAATCCTTCTACAGGAATGCTAAACCAGTCACAGAACTCCAGAAGCACATGACTGGATGTGTCTTGAAAACTTAGAGACATATATAGAGATGCATGACATAACCTATTAACAAAATCATGCACCAATGCTTTAGAACAGGGGTCTCCAAACTTTTCAAACCGCGGGCCACATTAGGTAATTTGGCACTTTCAACGGGCCGGATAAAATGACAAATTAATAACTCTAGGTATAAGAGTTTTATTGAAAGCATAGAATTTCGTAAACTAAATACAAAGTACGTGAGAATAAATTATCCTATATTAATGACAACAGACAGTAGCAGCAAATGCTCATATTTTCATCACAAATTATAATAAAACGATTAATGTGAATGATGGATCTCTTTTTGCATTCTTAAAATCTGATTAAATTGAGGTTCAAATTTTGAAATGCTAATCACAAGTAGCGACTTTAAATGTTCATTGGATAAATTTGCCCCGTATTTCGACTTGATGTACTTCATCTGGGAAAAAGTTCGTTCACACAGATATGTCATCCCAAAAATGGAGATAAATTTACAAGAAAATTTCTTTAAATTTTGAAATTGCTCAGAGTTCAGAAATTTATAAAATTCATTCAGATTTCCTTCCTTGTATTTGTCTTTAATATGATAATTTTCCTGAAGTTCAATAATTTCCATCTGAATTTGACTTGGGACATCTGCAGCATCTCAGTCAAATGGATTTTGAAACAATCTAATTTCCTGAGCACTGGAATCCAAATCAGCAAATCGCTTCCGAAATTGTTCTATCAAATCTGAAATGACGAAATTTGCACACGAGGAAGGAAATTCTGCTTCACCCCTTTTATGCAACTCTGCACAGTATAGCTTATGAACAAAGTTACAAATTTTCACTTGGCTTTCCAGAAGTATCAACTTTGTTCTGAATGCCTTGATAAGTGCAAATAAATCACAGACTAAGTTATTTTCACCCTGCAACTTTAAATTCAAATGGTTCATATGGTTCACCAGATCAGCAAAAAATGCTAATTTCAAAAGCCACTTGGTATCTGATAAAAGTGGTTCGTGATGGTTTTTCTTGGTAAGAAATATATCAATTTCATTCCTGAGCTGAAAGAAGCGCGAAAGAACCTTTCCACAGCTAAGCCATCGAACTGCAGTATAATATGTCAGGTCAATAAGCTCGGAATCACATTTACCAGTACTCATTGGAAAATTAGTTCAATTGGCGCATTTCTGCACAATTCTTTTGCAGGCAGGATGTGGCCTGCGGGCCGTAGTTTGGAGACCCTTGCTTTAGAACATAAAGTTCTGAGAAGAATTATGCCACTAAGTACAGCAAGTCCTGCACTACACATAAAATTAAGAGGGTACTGTCACTGTGAAATACAGCCACCTTATAAAATATGCAGCCATTCTGGGCATGACTGATGCAGTGTCACATATTGCAAAATATAGTCACCTATTAAAGACTGCTCTTAAATATTATACAGCCTTCAGGAAAGCTATTTATGGGAAATATGGTTAAATTCTCAGACAGACATACATAAATAATATTTTCATGTAATAGGGGTGCATGACTATCGGACAGGTTTTGGACTGCATGATTGGATTTATTGACATCCTATATGCTTAAGTCATAACTATAAGTAATATAGCACTATCGCTGATCTACACCCCTTACAGTTCACCGTACATTAGTGTTCTCGGCCCTCACTAGTCATATACTGGAAATGGATTTATAACAATCTCACTGTCACTGCAGTATACATAAAGTCTTCTTTTCACAGTATAATTCCTTTTTTGTGATCATCTTTGACTGCCAACTATCTCAATTCTGATAACAGATAACTGCTCACTTGGTACTCCGGAACTCGACTGACTCAAATGATCTTGAATTTGTGTCCACAGAAAAGTCCTTAACCAATAGCTCCATAGCAACAGCTGTATACGTCACGACGTATATCATGATAATTCCTCTATTGTTGCATGTGGGCATTACCTAACAATGTCTGTTTCTCTGGCTCTACAGTTCTTGCTTTGAGTTATATGCCACAATACTTCCAAGAAGAAACAGTAAACATACAACTTACCTGAATGGGAAATAGAACTGCATCCTTGGTCAAGAACTTCTTGACCTTAAAGCCATTACTGAGGTCAGCAGCTTTGTACACGGCACCCATGGCTGCTGCTTCATCAGTGTTGATGCTCTTACCCAGCTCCATAGCAACTATCTCACTCAGCTTCTCTTGTACCTTCGGAACTCTTGTTCCTGCACCCACAAGGATCACCTGGCAACACAATACAATGCAGTCACACAGTTCTCAGTTGCACTTGCACCTCTTCTGTGCTATGAATGAAACAAGACTGCAAGGATAATGTTTGTCCTAGAACACACTCATGTTCTTTGCTAATATGTTGTGCTCACACACATAAACTCTTCTGTGAAAGCATACGATGGGGTACCCAAAAGAAACCGAACTAATTTCTTTGTGGGCAGAGCTTTTGTAGTACCGCGTTTTGCCGCTATGAGCTCATAGAGCGAACATTCCTGAGTCGATAAGCCGACTACCGTTGCTTCAGAAGGTAACGACTAGTTTCGGCAGAGTTTATAGTGACAACTGTTTTGTGTGATCGTCGTTTTGCAATGGCTAATTTTCGTGAACAGCGTGCGGCGGTGAAATTCTGCTTTTTGCTCGGGAAAAGTGGAACAGAAACTCTTGAAATGTTAAAAACGGCATACATGGATGATGCTATGGGGAAAACTCAAGTGTTTGAGTGGTTTTCCCATTTCAAAAATGGTGAGCTGTCAATTGATGACAAACCTTGTTCTGGTAGTCCTTCCACGGCCCGAACACATGAAAATGTTGAAAAAATTCGTAAAATCATCAAGGAAGATCGACGACGGACCACTGAAGAAATTGTGGAGCTGTCGGGAGTGACTTGGAGCTCAGTTCAGCGAATTTTGACAGAAGATTTGAGAATGAAAAGGGTGGCTGCGAAATTCATGCCACAACTACTGCTGACTGCTAAACAAAAACAAGGTCGTGTGGAAACATGCTGTGCTTTGAAAGAAGAGTCCTGAAATGATCAAAACTTTTTTTCAAAAATTATCAGCGTTTTGCTGATGTTGCTGAGGTGAAGGAAAAAACGACGGAGGCGCTGTCAAGCATCTCAAAAGATGAATTTAGACAATGTTTTGAAAAATGGAATAAAAGACTAGACAAGTGTATTAGTGTAAGTGGAGAGTACTTTGAAGGGGACTTAAGGTTCTTTGTGCCAGATTTCATCTAAATTTGTCCAATGATTGGATGAAATATGCAAATGGATGGAGACAAAAAACGTTATCTCCCTTATATGCATACACATGCTGTGCAAGGCGTGAGTAACAAACTTTCCATCTCCTTGACAATTCAAGCTATGTGTGCCTTTTTAAAAATGGATATTTAGGTGGGATTTCAAAACCAAAGGGCTGCCATGTGACGAGGGTAATTTCATTCTAAGAAGGAACATTCTAACCAGAAAAGGAACCAAAATTAAAAGTTGTCATTTATTTCCTCAGTGTGACTTTCTATCTTATTAACGCTATTTATAATTTCAGAAGGGATGGAGCACAAATAAACAGGTTAAAAAAAGGTAAAGCTATCCCAGTAACAGGCCATGAAAGCCCATAGAGTTGTGAGATGTCGAGGCTACCACATTTTCTAGACAATCCGCTTACACATGGCGGTGAGGTTGTCAGCCTTATGCGCCGGCTGCCCTTTACACCCAGGAATATTCCTGGTACTCATTTCTGTTAGAGGCTGAGTTGACCCCAGGGCCACAGTGCGGCTGGAAGGATTCGGTCAATTGGAAAATCCAATGACCTCATCAGGAATCAACAATTTTAGAAAGCTACAATAAATGTGAGTGTGCCGCAGTAGGTGGGTGGACAATATTAGAATGGATCTTAGAGAGATAGGCTGGGGTGGTATGGATTGAATTGATCTGGCTCAGGATAGGGACCAGTGGAGGGCTCTTGTGAACACGGTAATGAACTTTTGGGTTCCATAATATGCTGGGAAATTCTTGAGTAGGCGCAGAATTGGCTTCTCCTCCAGAAGGGCTCAGCTCCATGAGTGAGTGAGTGAGTGAGTGCTGCAGTAGTAGCCTGGGGTAAGATAATCTCAGACACTTCATCCTCAAACTACACTGCACACATGATGGATGCGACAGGTATAACAACCAATGACAGTAATTCACAATAAATGTATACCACCTCTTACTACTTACATGGTTTATCACATCTAATGTGAGTCCTGAAGACTTAAGAGCTTGGTCTATTGGACCCTTAACACGATCAAAAAGATCAGAACACAACGTCTCAAAATCTTCTCTCATCACCTGAAGCTTGAAGTCCTGCTCATCCAGTAGACCTTCTACCTGAAACGTGCAACAGTGCTGTTATAACATAAGTGCATATAATAATCAATTCAAAAACACATTAATTAATCTTATATTGATTTTAATTGCTGTAGATATGTTTACATTCTGTGAAACTTCTCAACGAGAATATAAATCATATTAAAATACAACTTCCTGGAAATGTCGAAAGGAGTACTCCAACTTGGAGTATACCTTATTTTCCAAACACATTCTTTGTGAGATGATACCTTCTGGGTTGTGATGCCATTTTGTTCCATAGATTTTACCAGAATTTCATATGAACACAGTTCCTTCATACCCAGGGTCAAAGGGTACATTACATGGTGTCACATCCCAAAAGATACAGTCTCACAGTTGCCACCATGAGAACCATAAATATTACACATTTCATACTTCATTCCATTCAAAGCTTATTTGTTTTAGGTACAAATCATGCAAAACCAACCAGCAATATGATGGTACTGCCAGAGCCATACATTCTGTTACTAAGAAAACTGATCAAATGCTCACAAATTTGTATTACATCACACAGAAATATTTGTCATTATATACGTCAACAATATCATCAATACACCAGAAACCAATGTGATCACTCCCACAGTGCTGAGTTATTTCCAACAAGTCTGATCTGCCTAGCTATTCGTGACTTCATGCATTCACATAATTTAACTGCTGTACCCTTAACTTCTGATTTTGAGTGGGGAGGGGGGGGCACATGCTTACATGTATGTGACTCTCATTCCAAGGAAGTTCAAGACTGGGCTGCGCCATAGCTCAAGCAGTTATTCGCTGGCTTCCCACCGTGGCGGCCCGGTTTTGATCCCGGATCTGGTCATGTGGCATTTGTGGTGGACGAAGTGACGCTGGGGCAGGTTTTCTCTGAGTACTTCGGTTTCACCTGCCAATCTTCATTCCACCTATTGCTCCACAATCACCCTCACCTATCATCTGGGGCTGGTACAATAGGCCAGAAGTTGCCGCAGTACAAGGGGCTTAGTCTTACCCCACTAGCAATAAAACAAAGTTCAAGACTCCCTTTTCCAGATCATTCTGGAGACTGCTAAAGGTTAACATGTCTTGCTGTACTCCTGCAGTTCTTATGGCTTCACCATGATGCCAGCCACGAGATCAGACATGTTGCTGGAACATCTTTCTGACTAAGGTTTGGCCTCTCTGGAAAATTCTTAGCTTGTTCAAGGTACAATTTTGCCATTGAAATTTAATGGAGGTGCCTCATGTAAATCTCATCTTTCAGTTTGCACTCTAATGTACTTCTTAAACAAAGTTGCTATGAAGGATTGTAGTATCAGCAGCACTACATTATAAATACTAAATTTATTAAATATCTTAACTGCATACGGATAAATTGGAATACAAAGCATCTGACTGTAATCAGAACGGGCCAAAAGGCCCAACCCCTGTGCTGTTGATATTTGTTGATTTTTATTTATATTTGTTGTTATTGTTGTTATTATTATTATTATTATTATTATTATTATTATTATTATTATTATTATTATTATTATTATTAGATTGCCTCTTTGGTCTAGTGGTCAGAGTGCCTGCCTACATATACAGAGGTTCCGGGTTCGATTCCCGGCNATCATACATGATCAGCTCTCCCTTTATTTTAAATTTAAACTTCACCCATCTCAGCATCGTTTTATTAAATCAAAGTCTACTGCAAACAATTTACTTACTTACTTAAACTCTTATCACATTTTCTGTCAGTTCACAAGGGCAAAGCAACTCAATTTGTTTTGACCGCAGCCAAGCCTCTGATAAAATTCCTCATACTCTTTTGTTATATAAACTCAGAAATTCTGGACTCTATGATCATTATATTATTTGCTTTCAAAGTTACTTATCATCTATATTTTCTGTTGTTTGCACTTTGGGGAACTCTTCCTCACCTTTCTCATGTTGTCTGGAGTACCACAAGGCTCCACTTTGGAACCTCTATTATTAATATTTTTTATTAATGATGTATGCACCAAAATTCATTTTCCCAAATGTCTGCCCTTTGCTGATGATTTAAAAATATCTCATCATAAAATGTACTGTGAATTGTAAATAACTACAATCTGATATAGACTCTGTACATAAGTGGAATATTGAAAATTACACGGAAAAAAAAACATAAAAGGGTAAAGCTGTCCCTGCAACAGGCTGTGTAGGACCACAGAGGTGTGAGAGGTCGAGGTTCCCACATCTTCTAGACAATCAGCCCACAGATGGTGGTAAGGTTGTCAGCCTTACGCACCTGCCATCCTTCATCCCCCAGGAACCTTTCTGGTACTCATTTCTGTTAGAGGTTGAGTCAACCCCAGGGCCATATTGCAGCTGGAAGGATTAACATATTGAAAACAAATATGATTTCTTTTACTCACAAAACTAACAGCATTCATTTTAATTACTTTTTATGTGACCTATCAATTGTACAACCTGATCGTGTAAAAGATCCAAGGGGTTTCCTTTTTGTTAGATAGCAAACTGCATTTTCATCATGTTGACTACATTCTCAGGCACTAAATCTGCTAGGACTAATTTGTTTCATCACATATAACTTTTCTTCTTCGGATAGTCTAAAAGTTTTATATATTACCATAAATCATTCAAAGCCTGGAAACTAGTCTGTCATCTGGAATAACCTTACTTTAGCAGATTCTAATAGGGTGGAAAACATACAAAGTTTATAAATCTGTGGTATAATCAACTTATTCAGCCCAACTTCTTCTGTAATTATAAATAAATGTTGAATTACTCATATTTTACAGTGTTTTATTGCAGGCAACAAAATCTTCATGTTTTATTTCTTATTAACATTTTCAAGAACAAAATTGTCTGTTGTTCTAATATGGATACAGCTGATCTCTGTGTACCCACTCAGCATATTAGAGACTTTCCCACCTTTAAAGTCTGTAATGTCTCAAGACTTAGCGCTTCAACAAAGTGCCTTATGGCTGCAAACAACATCTACATATCTCTCTACGTTTTCAATAAACATAACATCTCTCTTGAGGATACATTTTCTTTTGCTTAATCCTACTGAATTACTCCGTTATTGTTACCTGTATTGTTTTAACAAACAGGGTTAAATTTTAGTCTTGTTCTGGTTCTGGTTCTAGCCTTAGTCTAGCTTTTATGTACACTTTCAGTGCTCACCTGTTATATGAAACTCACTGTTAGCAAGCACTTAAAGTTATTATTGTTGTTGTTACCTGAGTATACCAGACTTGGTTTAGCCCTGGTGTGTTCAAACACTTAAGTTCAGTTAACTGAAATGGCTGATTCTAAAAAAGCTAAATCAAATATTTCCATCTCTGCATTATAAATTGCCACAAGCTGACCTGCGGTTGTAAAATGAAGGGACTCTGGCTGGATTGAACTGGTATTGCTCCAAGTCCTTCAGCTAACAACTGATACCGGTATGATATCAGAAATTAATTGTTACACGTCTGTACATTTCTCATCCATAGCAGATAAAAGAAGAGGTAAAGTTATCCATTCACCAATCTACACAGAGAAAACTCTACAAGTTACGCTAGTCCAATTCAGACTCAAAGTGGCTGCTTGAATACTTGATCCATTGGGTGATAAAACAAATCATAAACAAATCCATAAGTTTGATTATTCTAGTCACTGGAATAAACTTTGCTAATAACATTAAAAATACAAATTATTGCAAAAATGCAATCATTACTCCATTTTTATAAGTTTTGGTGTTTAAATGGAATCTACATGTATTTAACATTAGTTTGAACCATCTAATTAATACACACAACATTTCACTCACCTGAGCAAAATGATCAGCATTGGCACTTAGAACATTTTTCAGCCTCCCAGCTTCCTTGAACAATTTGGCCATTGCTCTGGGGTTTTTGAACACATCATTTGAGGTTTTCTTCATTTCATTAAATTTCTTTCCCAAGAAATCCCTGAGTCTTAACTGCATCTCCAGTCCACCAAGAGTACGGTCATACCTTTGCCAGAATTCAGTAACACATGAGAACATATGCATAGAAGTGCAAATAAGGAAGTATCTGCTTCTGCAAATTGTTTCAATATTGGCTAGACCAGTGGTTCTCAAACTGTGGGGCGCGAAGGGCTTGAAAGGGGGGCGCAGCATACTTTCCTACACATAAAAATTAAAACTGCCCTAAATCAATTAGAAAAGTATCAAAAAATAAAAATACATATAGAAAAACTTTTGATGAATACAGGCTTTAATTACCATGAATTTCAAAATAACTAATAATTATTCTCTTTACCGGCAATTATAAAACGCATATGCCAGAGACAGTGTTCATAGTTCGGCAGCGGCCGCATCCTCTTCCAAGTTGAACTGTACACGCACAGCTGAAAGCAGCGACTTATGTCATCTCATTGGCACCTGTTGGGCAGGAAGTAGGCAGTTTGTCGCCAGACTCAATGGTGATCGACGGGTATGCCTGTTTGATGTTGTGTTCTTATGCATTTAACGTTTCAGTGCAATTGTGCTGATTTGTTTATCTCTTGAAGTTGACTTGATTATGAACAACTGATCATGAACCGTTTCCTGATTAGTGATAGAAATGAAGACACCAGTGCTCCTTCAACTAGTGGTAGGAAAGAAGCTACTCGGAGTGTGAAAACGAGAAGGTATGATGAGAACTATTTATCACCAGGCTTTACGAAAACTGTGATCAATTATGAAGAACGTCCGCAATGTGTAATCTGTCTAGGTATTTTAGCTGCAGATAGTATGAAACCTAATAAATTAAAGATACATCTTGAAACCAAACATCTGAAGTTTACAAATAAACCATAAGATTTTTTGTTAGAAAGCTTAGTGGTTTAAAGTCCGTCCAACAGAAATTTGCTAAAACAATAAATGTGACTTCTAAGGCCCCATTTAGCCTCTTACCAGGTTTCTCATAGAATTGCTAAATGCAAGAAACCACACACAATTGCAGAAACACTGATTTTACCAGCAGCAACTGACATAGTATCAACAATGTCGGGTGACTCTTCTGATCAACAATTGAAAAATATCCCCTTCTCTAATGACACAGTTTGTAGAAGAATTTCAGACATTTCTGACGATTTATGTCAGCATTTAATTGAGAAGTTGTGTAACAAGTGCTTTGAACTTCAAGTGGATGAAGCGACTGATATTCATAAAGATGCTCATTTGATTGCGTACGTTCGTTTTGTTGACGAGTGAAATATGCGAGAGTAATTGTTTTTCTGTGAGCCTATCTTGAAAACAGCAACAGCTCAAAGCCTTTTTGACATGATTAATGCTTTCTTTAATGAAAAAGGGATATCATGGGATAAGTGCACTGACACATGTACAGATGGAGCTTGTTCAATGCCTGGAGTCCATGCTGGATTACAAGCAAAAATTAAAGCTGTTACTCCCGAAGCAGTATGGACTCACTGTATGATACATGGGGAGGCTCTGGCAGCTAAAGAACTCAGCCCACCCCTTCATTAAGCACTGCAGACGGTTGTAAAAACCGTCAATGTTATCAAGACAAATCCTCTGAAGTCTAGACTTTTTAAAATGCTGTGTGAGGAAATGGGTGCCGAACACACTGCTCTGTTGTTTTTTAGTGATGCTCGATGGCTTTCAAGAGAGAAAGGTATTAAAGAGAATGTTTGAGATGAGGCATGAGGTGTTCTGTATTTTAAATGGGGAAAAGCACTCACTGGCAGACAGTTTCAGCAACAAGAATTTTTTATTGAAAATGGCTTACTTCACAGATATATTTGAGAAACTAAATATCCTCAGCACTTCACTTCAAGGGAATGAGGCAGCTGTACTTTCTTGGAATGACAAAGGGAAGGCATTCATGAGAAAATTAGAGCTCTGGAGAAACAGTATGGAAAGTGACACGCTAGACATGTTCCCTACTCTGGTGTCAATGGTACAAGACACTGATAATCCAGTGCTTCCAATGGACATAAAAAGCTGCCTACTTGATCATCTCATAATGTTGAAAGTTCATTTCGAAAAATACTTTTGCAATGATTTTGATAAATTTAATTGGATTAAAAATCCATTCGAAAATGCTCCTGGGCCATCATCTCTGAATGTAAATGAGCAAGAACAACTTATTGATCCCACTAGTGATATTCATTAAAAAGTAAATTTAAGGAATTGTCTCTGTTGGAGTTCTGGATACACATTGGCACAGAACTCCAAACTTTGAGGCAAAAAGCATTGAAAACCTGATTCTTTTTGCAACAACTTACTTATGCGAGACAGGCTTTTCTGCTTTGGCAGCTATAAAGTCAAAGTATCTTTCAAGGGTAAATATTGCTAAAGAAGTTAGAGTGGCCATTTCTGATATTACACCACGTTTTGATAAACATTGTCCTCAAAAGCAGACCCATCCATCACACTGAACTTTGACATTTAAATGTTTGATTTTCTTTGTAGAAAAAAAATTAAATACTTGTTAGTTAAATATCATTTCATTTCAATACATACGTGGGGCAATCCAAAAGTTTCTGAAATTTGAATTTTGCGAGCGAATGGTTATGAGTACATCGAAATACTGCTAGGTGCCTCCTCACACATCCTTCTTGAATCAGTGCTGCAAGCGGCGTCGAGTTGAGTGGTTGGGTTTATTGTTGGTGAACATATTTCCATTGTTGTGTTTCCGTGAGTTTGCGGTTTTGCGATGGCTGACCTGAGAGAGCAGCGTGTCTGTATAAAGTTTTGTTTCAAACTTGGGAAAACCGCTGCAGAAACGCACCAAATGTTGAAGCAAGCTTTTGGTGAAAACAGTTTAGGCCAGACACAAACTTACGACTGGTATAAGTGTTTTAAAAATGGCCGAACATTGACTGATGATGATGATCGTTTGGGACAGCCGTCAACTGGCACCACACCAGAAAATGTCACGAAAGTTAGGGATCTGATTCTGCAAGATCGTAGACTGACTATCCAAGACCTCTGTAACACCTTGGGACCAAGTTATGGTACATGTCAACGAATTTTGTCAGAGGAAGTGAACATGAGGAGGATTGCAGTGAAGTTTATGCCATGGCTGCTGCAAAATGAACAGAAGCAGCATCGCTTGGAAGTCTGCAGGGAACTTCAACAACAGCTTCAAGAGGATCCAAACTTTCTTTCGAAGGTTGTCACTGGTGACGAAATTTGGGTTTATGACTACAACCCTGAAAGCAACCAGCACTCGTTGCAATGGGAGAGCCCTTCTTCACCTCGGCCAAAAAAACTCGACAAGTCAAGAGCAACATTAAGTCCATGTTGATCTGGATTTTTGATATTGACGGGATTGTTCATAAGGAGTTCGTCCCTCCTGGTCAGACAGTCAATAAAAGAGTTCTATCACGATATTCTAAGGCGTTTGAGGGAGGACATGAGGAGAAAACGTCCAGAGAAGTGGCGTACGAATGACTGGGTACTCCTCCATGACAACACACGATCATATACAGCTCATATTGTGCAGGAATTTTTGGCTAAAAACAAGATGGCAGTTGATTCCCACCCACCGTACTCACCAGACTTAGCTCCATGCGACTTCTTTCTCTTCCCCAAGATGAAAATCAAGTTGAAGGGGCGAAGATTTGATACAAGTTGAGGAAATTCAAGCAGAAACGCAAACAGTACTAAAGACCCTAACAAAGAAAGACTTCCAGGATGCATTTGAAAAGTGGCAGAAATGCTGGGATCAGTGTATGTGCTTACAAGGGGACTACTTTGAAGATGATCATGCAGAATAAGATCCAGATAAGACGTAATAGTTTTTATTAATACATTTCGGGAACTTTTGGATTGCACCACGTATTTTGGTTAATTGCAAGTGTTAAAACTAATTTTTATTGTAGGCCTAATATTGTGATACTTTAATTTTGAGTAAAATAACTGCTAAATAGTATGTANCTGTCAGCAACTCTGGGTATACAGTAGCATTCAATGGTAGGATCATAGTAAATAATGAACTTTAAAGGAATTTAAGGTACTATCACATCATTTTCATGGAAGGGCACAGAAAAGTCACAAAATACTCAGTGTCTCAACCAAGATCAGAACCAGATACCTCCCATACATAAGTCAGAAGCATTACTGCTTGAGCCAACCTGCTCTGTGAATTCAAACTTCATGCAACTGTATTGTGGCGCACCGCCTGAAAGCCGAAACAGTTCAGTCAGATCAAAATTGATTCTCTAGGCAAAAAGCATTAACAAAGCACGTCCCTGCAACAACGGCTTACCATGGGACTAGTAAACATGCACCTCCATGGAAACACTTGGCTAGACACATAAGTTACGGTAGAACTGGAGGTGTTTCTGTGGTAACTCATACATAAGCAGGAGGTTACCACTGAAATGAAATACTGAACTGTTTGGGGCGGTGTCTGCTATTTGGTATGCCAAGAACCTACCTCAGGGAGATTACACCAAATATAACAAGATCAGATTAGAGATAACCAGAAGAGAGATGAGATCAGAAAAGAGATAACCAGAAGAGAGACAAGATCAGAACAGAAGCAAGAGGAGAACCAATGGAAGTCTTCATGTGGCATAGTTATAGTGAACATTAGAGTGTGATCATTGTTCGTAGTTATGAAATGTTATAATTATCATGTGTCATAATTGTCTGTAGTTCCACCTGGTGGAATTCCCCAATAAACCACTTCCCCAAATCCGTAATCCATTAATTAATTGTCAAGGGACCCCGGACACGTGATAGTATTTTACTTTCATCTTTCCCAGATAATGTCCATATTTCCACCGCACATGTGAAACCTGTTTAACTTTTAGCATCCAGGATTTTGAAGTTAAATTCTGGCACTGGCTGCCAGAGTTTTATGTGGAGGACTGAAATGGTAAAGATGTTAGTTTTTAAGAAATGTGCCTATCTCCAGAACCATACAAGCTAAAATATTTCAGTGAAAATTATCTGAAAGATAAAAGTGCCAAATACTACAGTGAAAGTTTCATAATATTGCAAAGATCATTGTTTCCA